GCAGGTTTGACTTTTGCACCGATTCGCGCTTTTTCACTGCCGCCCGGATTTAATTTAAACTTTGATTGCGTGCCTCTCGTGTCGAGTAAATTGACGGCATAGCCGGGAACAGTCGGACGAATTTAAGCGGGAATGATTTATTCGCATCTAGCGATAAAAACCCCACCCCCGCCTCGCACGAGTGTTTGTTCGCCGAGTAGGAAAGAAAGGATTACAATTCATAAATTATTTCTTGAATATGCACGCTGAAAGCTTGCTTTTGAAAATTTTGCCCGAGCGCACACCTATTGATTGGGAAATTGTCGAAAACACCTACCTCACTTTACTTGCAGCTTGTTGTCACATTTTGTCGCTGAAAAGGAAAACTATTATGCATATCGATGGTGTTACTGCATAAATGCGTTTATCGGCTCGAGGCATTTTTGACTACCTGTCATACTTCATGTTTTACATGGAAAACCGCTAAATGTCGTTTCTTGAAAACGTCGATGATTCCTCTTCTCTATGTGAAGAATATTCCGTGAAAATTTCAAGCCATGATGTTGATTCGATCTTCTTTAAAAAATAAAGGAGGAGCGAAGATTTTGAAACACCGCAACCGAGATACGCATTATAAAACTCCGCATGAACTTTCAGGCGTTGCCAAATTTCCTTTGGTAAAATACGAATTTTCTGGTAAACTAATGTATATTTTCTTTCCAATTTTTCAGATACGTTTGCTCGCAATTTCACCTGAGGTCCCTCAAAATTTCAAGGAAGAATATTCATAACTTTCCTCTAAAATGGAAAAAAAACGTTTTTAATAAAAGGTCAACTTGCCTGAATTAGAGATGGAGCAGCGATGCGCATAAAATTGGCAACCCCTAAAAGCTCATCAATGGTCCAAAATAAATAGATCCTCACGCGCAGCCTTTGTAATCGTGAAAACATTAATCAAACGAGGGAAATAAGTCCATAATCTTTTAAACGGCCCGTTGTTCGTTTTGAGAGATACTTCGAGGGGGTGGAATGTGTGAGAGGGAAGTTGACGGGTGAAATTTTATCATTACACTTTTCTCCGGGTACCTCAAGGTTGAGAACGACGAGAATTGATACACCTTGTTACCTATTTATTTCCTGTCTCATATTAAAATAGGAGTATTGAACTTGGAAAAAAAAACTGTCCGCCTAATATGTCAATAGAGAATTTGCAGGTGTCTGAAATTCGAAGACTTTCGTGTTCAATTGGAAACTACCGAGAGAACTGATCACGAGGATACCCTTGGTTCATGAATTGGACAATAATTATTGGAGAGGATATGATACAATGATCTAATCTGCTAAAATAGTTGTGTATAAATGGGAAATATCGCCAGATGACGTCTCTAGGCGGTGCATTTTCTTACTTTTAAATCTGTTTTTATATTATTTTCCATACTAGATATAGAAATCGCAAAAAATACTGTGAAATCGGATCTTTAAGCATTTTCAGATGAAGCAATAAAAATTTTGCATGCAAATTCTCGATTGCGCAAATCACAGTGTCTTCGACGGTTGAATCCTAAGAATTGACATATCATATTAAGATTTAGGAACGATTCGATGTCATCTCAGGTCTTGATTATCTAGTTGTTAACTTCAATAATAACAGATATATGGACCATATTTGCCAATAAGGAACCAATATTTCTGGCTCATTTTATAAACAACATATGAGCCATTGGTTTCCCTACGCAGTGCTCTTATGGAAGAGCCAGAGATTGCGGTTCCTTATTGCAAAATGTCATCCATATCGACTCCGCAAAAAACACTGAATTGCGTGATCCACCGCAAATAATGCAATTCATAGTTTCCTTTCAAGTAGTTTCTTCATCAGCGTCGGACTGGCTTGCATCTGAGGGCGTAGACCCTTGGCTGGTTAAAGGGTATCCCCTACGTGGAGGGGAATTCAGAAAATGTTGGCAAAGCAGCACAAGTTTGTAGTATTGAACAAGTATTGAAGTAACCGATAGACTTCTAAAATGAAAATTCGAGAGTTTCCAAATTTCCCTCTGCAAAATGTTCATTTTTGAGGAAAATTATGAAAATTTTTCCTTGAAATTTTCAAGAACTTTAAGTGAAATTGTGAATAACATTATCTGAAAAAAAAATGGACGAAAAATATTTACAAGTTCACCCGGAAATTCGTGTTTTATCCGTCGATATCTACAATTCGAGTTTTAAAATACAACGTATAACTCATTAAAATAGGTCAAAAGATATTTTAGACCTCCACCAGTATATGCAATACTTTTGTGGTATTCGTTTGAGGTATGTGTGGTTTATGTGCGTATATTTTTTGTGGTTGTGTGGTATTTTTTGTGCGTTAGCCTTGTTCTTCTTTTTTTTAATTTTTTCAAGAAATTTTGTCACGACCCGGCACGACTGCGGAATTCAAGAGAGGCAAGACAGCTAGTTTTTCGTCCTTTTAATTTTCGAAGTTTCTCCGCCGAGAAAGATGGATGGTCCTTTGACCTGGTCCCCACTCCACCACCCGCCCTCCGCGCGGAGGAAACAAAAGCGGGCTTTTTTGTCGCGCGAGCGATGACAGACGCGCGTTTGCTCGGTGTTTGAGTGGAATTGATTCGGACGCTCGAATCGGCGCGACAGTGAAAGCAAGCTGTGACGTTCAATGGGCCCGATTTTCAGCCCCCCTGTAGGACTCGGAACGCTTTCGATGATATATGATGCCCCGCAATTGGAAAATTGATTTATTAATTTTTTTCTTCTTTTTTAAAGAGAATGAAATGTGACGCTTTAAATGCTGCCAAGGTTCAAAGAGGACAATCAGTTTTGAAGGAAACATGAGCAAAGGAAATTACATAATTGAGTAAACGAGAAAAAATTAAAGGATGAAAGTGAAAGGTTACTTTTAAAGGCTACCAAAATCCAAATAGAACCACCCATTTAAAAAATGGCACAAGGAAAAAATCAATATTTCTAAAAACGAGAAAACTTGTAAAAGTGCCCTTCGGGTAATAATAAAGCTTTTGGCTTTTTATTTTTAGCTAACAATGAGAGATAAAAAAGTTCCCTTCCGGGAAAAATATCACACACACCATATTTATTGTTGCCACACTGGCTCGAACATTTTCCATCTAGAATGATTGTTCTGCCGTGCAAAGGAAAAACGTTGTATGAGCCTTTAGGCGTTGCTTAATTTCCTTCGACAAATCACTAGTTTTCAGGAAAATTTGTGAATATTTTTTCTCCAATTTTTCAGAGGATGTTCGTAATTTCATTTAAAAAGTCTGAAAATTTCAATGAGAAAGACGCATGATTTTCTTCAAAAATACATGTTTTATTCGGCGAAATTTCACAACTCTCGAATGTTCATACGGCGTTCTTCCTTAGCACGACGGTGTTGTCCTATTCGTCCGAAACGTAACCGAGCTTCCCTCTTAGTACCCATGGGGTATACTGAAATCTTCAATCGAACATAGAAAAATGGTTTTTCAGTCGAAAAAATACAATTTCGGAGAATTTGGCGGATTTGGAGAATGTGGATTGGCGAGGGTTTGATTCTTTTGGCTCTCAGGACTTAATAATATACCGAAAAATTTGGCTTCGTTTGCTGGCGCCAGTGAAATTTTTCCCGGAAGGCATGAATCGTTGAAGTTATACTTCTGCGGTTTTTTTATCTCGTCGTCCGGCGTGTCTTGCCGTTTGTATTTTGTCGTCTTTTGAGCGTCATCTAATATTTATTTATACCTCTCCCAGGATATTAATGAATGACGTTAAGGAACATTTATGAAAGTTCAACGCCACTCCCGCACGGGAAAAATTTAATGTTACCTTGGCAATTTATGTTGTTGAAAAAATGTGTAACGTGTATAAATGCTGATTTTACAATAAAAATGCTACTTTAACCACGTCCATGGTAGAAGGAACAAATTCCATGTTAAGTAAGTTTTTTTTTTTTTTTTTTTTTTTTTTTTTTTTTTTTAATGTAAAATATGCATTTGATCCTCATCGCACATTTATTCACCAGTTTAAATGCATAACGACGGTGAAACTACCAGACCACGTATCTCGTTTGCGGTGTTTAAAAATCTCCGTTCACATTTTATTTTTTTTTTAAGGAGATCAAATCAATATCATTCCTTACAGTTTTCACAGATTTTTCTCCGCACAAAGAGGAAAAATCATGTAAGTTTTCACGAATTGACCTTGAGTAGTTTTCTATTTAAAAAATAATGTATGACAGGAAGTCTGCGACGTCGCAAACCGAGATACGTGGTTTGGTAGTTTCACCGTCGATAATCAACATCGAATGTTATTCCGTGCGGGATTCGAACCTGGGTGGGACCTATTGGACGTATTTATGCTAAAAGGAACTACATGCAAGTGGAAAGACGGAGTGTGCTCGTGGTGAGCTGGATAAGAAACAAATGTAAAAGTGGATATAGTTCCTTTTGAGAAAATGGAAAAACGGGATTTGACTTTAAATCAAAAGGAACTGAGCGCTAACTCGTGAGCCGTGGACATGTGACAAGAGCCTTGTGGACAGGGCTCATGAGTTAATGCTCAGGGACGGCGGCTTCTTCGCCGATGACGTCACCGGCGATTTAAAATTCCCATTCATTCTTATGGCCCTCAACTAACGAGCATACCCCATCTTTCCACTTGCACATAGTTCCATTTAGCATGAATACGTCTTATTGACCTAGAGTCAGACGCGCTGACCACTAGGCCTAGCATTTTCAATGTTCACTGAAAAAACAAATATGGTAGATTTTACCATACTCAGACACAGTAATACGAGTATGATAATAAACACCAGACTCTATGGTACCATTTACCATATTATGGTAAGTCTCGCCAGAGTTCTAGTGAATACTACCACAATTCTGGTTATTTTCACTAAATAGTATCACTGTGCAGTAAATCAAGTAGACTTATGGTAGATGTTACCATACTTTTTTTCAGTGTTGATGGTGTGATTTTCGATTTTCATTGGATGTTTTTTACTGTTTGAACAGAGAACGGGAAGCGTTCGAGGAGAAGACGTGCCTTACATCCTAGGATTACCTTTAGTCGGCGGCCAGCCGTTTTTCCCGCACAACTATTCTGCCAAAGACGCAGCCATCGCTCGCCAGCTCACTACCTACCTCGCAAACTTCGCCAGAAACGGGTAAGTCCAGTCCATCCCTCATCATTCCTCCCAACTCAGAGAAAAGCTCCGAACGATTTCTATTTAACACTCCCGGCCACTATTTGAGGTCCAGTGGCGTGGCGTGCTTTGCGATATATCGATTGATTTGCCATTTAAACATATGGAAAAGGATCGATGGACAGGGTGTTCGCACCGAACACCTTAATAATCGATTCTTTACCATAGCTTCAAATGGGGAAATATCGATTGATCGCGAAGCACGCCTCGCCATTGTTGAGATTATCTCCTCAAAGCTGCCGAGAATACACGAATCGAGACATGCGAAAAGAGCGGAAGTCCAAAAAGTCAATTTTTCAGGAGAAGCAAACAACTTCCTGTAATACAAACAATTAGAATTAAAAAAAAAAAAAAAAAAAAAAAAAAAAAAAAAAAAAAATTCCTATCGCGAAAGGTTTGTCCCAATCGAGCTAATAAGAATTGAATCTCCTAAACAAATTTTGAACCTGCTTTTTTGAGAATTTTTTAGTTTTGATTTGGACTTCCGCCCTTTTCGCTACTGGGGGAAACTTTATCGTAAAAAAAAGAAATCCAAGACCTCCATGCTTTTCGCATGTCACCAATATTTCCCTTCCCTATTAATCAACGTTAAAATGATGGACTTCCACTGTTCTTCGCAGAGTCGATACACATACATTAGAGGACTCCAACAATGCAAAAAAGTGGATTTTGAAAAAGTTGGATTTCCGCCCTCTTCTCATGTCTCGATTCACACGGTATCATAGAGGGTGGACCTAAAATAACCGACTTTTTTACTTGAGAGAGCTAATTTCTTCTGAGCATAGGATTCTTAATTGGATTCCTAGACAAGTTTAATCGAACAAATTCATACGACAGAATCCCAATTCAAGGCCTTGTCTCCACGGGACGTTTCATAGGATTCGTCCCGGGAAAAAATCTCACTTGCGGAGTTGAAAAAAATATTGAGTCAGTCAATTTTAATCGCGGTGCCAATTAAGAGTCATTACGGAGTCCCAGAAACAACTTAAAGAGAAGAGGAAGAAATTGTTTGTGTTGTTCTTTGGGGAAAAAGATTAGAAGTTTCATTTCTACGATTTGAACTTGGACGAAATCCTGTGAAACGTCCCGTGGAGCCAGGGTGTAAAGGAAGGTAAACATTGTTCAATGTATGCCAATGTAGGGTATGTAGGGTTCTCTACACAGAATTAGCTGTTGACAAGTAGTGCTAAAAAATCAGATTTCTCCATTTAATCTCATGTAAAATATCTACGTTTTATTTTAACCTTGCCGCAGCTATTACTAACACATTCTCCCACGATTACTCGAATGACCAGGAATGCTAATTGTAAGTAGGAATTGCTCTACACTGGGTAGTCTTAGCTCTTCTCATGAATAAACTTTTTACGGGTCAAATTTGATGAATTTCGAGATGACTTCAGTAAAGTTTGATCCCAATACATGAATATGCGACTGCATCAGACAAAGTTAAATATAAAGTTGCGTATAAGGTCCGGCCCAGATACTTGAACTTTGATCGAACTTTCACGGAAGTAGTCCGACGAACTAAACTTAAGTCACCTGAAACAAATTTAATGAAGTGGCGCAGTTTGATGAGCCACGATGAGAAGTTTTTTCTCTATGGCCGGGCCTAATTTTCCGGGTGCACCAGTCTAAATATAAAGAGCTTGATGCAAAAACGGCTTTTTTCGCCCCCCCTCTGGAAGTTCTTCAGACTTTGTCTATTGATTACTCATACTTGAGCGCTTCTTTTCCCAAATTTTCAGACTCCCAAAAAATTTTGGGGGGGAGCTAGGGGGGGTGGAAGTCAAAACCTGTGAACCTCGATATCTCTTGAACAAAGAAAGATATCGAGGTCTGGTTTGGACGAAAAATCGTCGAAAATTGCATACTTTAAGATTCTAAAGGTCAAAATCCCGATATCACATTTTTAAGTCAACATATGTGCTTTTTTCCAGTTTTTAGGTCTAGAAAATTTCTTTTAAACGAAAAATTTACAAAGATTTCAATTTTTTATTTGAACCAAAACCAGTTTTTTAAATTTTTCGTCTTTTTCCGCATCCAACGAGTGGTCCATTAAGCTGGGGAACCAAACGGTTCCGGAGTTATGATCGATTGAAGTTTCCGCTCAACGCGCGCCGACCGATTTTCGCGCGCAAAAAAGTCGAATCTGACTGTTATTAGATCAGATTGAATGTTCAAACTGAGCAAAATGCTTTATTAGGGACTCTTGAGGGTCGCTGAGTTCAGAAATTACAGATACTTCCAAATGATATACGTTTTTAAAATTACAGCTCCGCAGCACTATTTTAGAGGCCCACTGAGCGCCGACCGGTCGCTCAGTGGTCCTGTCCGAAGCTGCAATTTTAAAAACGTGAATTTTTTGGAAGTATCAGTAATTTCTGAACTCATCGACCCTCAAGAGTCCCTAATAAAGCATTTTGCTCAGTTTGAACATTCAATCTGATCTAATAACAGTCAAATCCGACTTTTTGGCGCGCGAAAATCGGTCGGCGCGCGTTGAGCGGAAACTTCAATCTATCATAACTCCGGAACCGTTTGGTTCTCCAGCTTAATGGACCACTCGTTGGATGCGGAAAAAGACGAAAAATTTAAAAAACTGGTTTTGGTTCAAATAAAAAATTGAGATCTTTGTAAATTTTTCGTTTAAAAGAAATTTTCTAGACCTAAAAACTGGGAAAAAGCACATATGTTGACTTAAAAATGTGATATCGGGATTTTGACCTTTAGAATCTTAAAGTATGCAATTTTAGACGATTTTTCGTCCAAACCGGACCTCGATATCTTTCTTTGTTCAAGAGATATCGAGGTTCACAGGTTTTGACTTCCACCCCCCCTAGATCCCCCCCAAAATTTTTTGGGGGTCTGAAAATTTGGGAAAAGAAGCGCTCAAGTATGAGTAATCAATAGACAAAGTCTGAAGAACTTCCAGAGGGGGGGCGAAAAAAGCCGTTTTTGCATCAAGCTCTTTAATCTAATTACTGCAGGTGATGAAAATCAATTCCATTGAAAATTTTCAATGACGTTTTACCAAAAGTTTGACCAAGTTTGTTGCGATTCATAAAAAGTATAGGGGTCAATTTTATTAATGAGAGAATAGGAGGAAGGGAAGAAGTTCGATGGGTGAATTGCGCTGGTCAAAAAATCGTGGTTCAATGCTCAATTTTTGTAAATTATCTAAAAATAATAAGATCTGTTCAAACAGCAACTTTCTTCGTTCAATATTAATCGTGATATTGCGCTTTGAAAAATTTGAGTAACCGGAGCAAATATGTGTATCGCTGATTGATGAAAGCAAGGTGAAATTTCTTCCACCTTTGAGACCACACTCATTTTTCAAATATCATATGTGCCATTTCCCTATCTGGATAGGTAATGGATGATCTAGAAATAGAAGTTCCTTTTATTAAAGTATTTTTTAAATTTAAATTTACTTTAAATTCATTTAAATAAAATTTAAAAACTACTTTAATAAAGGGAACTTCGATTTCTACCTCAAAGTATAGTCCCATTTATCGTTGACTCACTTCAGTGGGGTTACCACTGATCGCATCATCGCGTAAACATTTGCATTTATTCAAGTTCTATTTCACAGCGACTAAATAAATTAATTTACCGTGTTGTTATTTTTAAAGTGTTATTTGTTACACCGAAGGCGATCAGTCGTGGAACCGCCGGAGGGCTCCACCACTCTGCCGAACACGAACCCCTCAATACTCCGATGAAAATCCCGATCAGATACGCGTTTTTGCCACACTATTCGGGGGCACCATCAAAAGTTCGATTACCGGAAAATTACGTGCGCTCCGAAAACAAAGGGAGCCCACCCCTCCACTTTTTCAACACCCCCCCCCCTTATCGTCCCTCGCGTTTTTGTCGGGACGTCAAGTATTCGCGGATGCAAAAATAGGCACCGGACGGTGAGTCGGATCGAACCCTGAAATTATGATATTTTTCGCTGCGACGCGGATGTTTTTCGAGGTTAGGGTTTGGCAACGCTGTCGCGTAAGTCTTTGGGTCGATTCTTCCGAGTCATTTAACCTTTTTGGTCAGGTCCTTTGTGCTCCGAGTCTCGAATCCTCTCGCTAACCTATCGCTCATCCCGCGGGTTTTGCGCTTACATAATTTTCACCGGTTATCCGTGCTGCCAACCTTGCGGAAAATTTTAGAAATGTCACTCGTTTATGAAGGAAGAGGTTGGATTCAAATTGAACTCCGAAATACCGAACCTCTTGATTTGGATAACCGAAATTTAGCTCAGCTAACCAAATTTCGGTTCCCATGATTGAGAAGTTCGATTTCCTCGACCAAAAAATGCAGGTGTTCCTTACGAACAGAAGTTAAGTTAGTCGCTGGTAACCGAAGTTTTCTTCTTCGTGTACGATGAATTAAGCCCCAGGTCTGTAAGCCATAATCCCAGGTTGTGGAGGTTGAGGTTAAGTGTGTAGGGAAGCGCTGCAATGACGCTGTGATGTATGAAAAAATTGCAAATCTAACATTAAAATTACAAAAATAACGAAGTTTTCTCTGCGTTTTGCAAATCATCTGTATAGAGATAGGCGATATTGTTCGTTAGCCATCGATATCTGCTGTGCTATTTGATCCATGTAACCATATACTTTTAGTCCTCTTTCCATTATTGGTTCATGCAACCGAGTTTTTTCTACAGTTTGGTCTATTATACTAAACTATTTCTACAGTTCTCTTCCCTGGTAAAAATTGGCGATAGGAGCTGCGTTTCAAAATACCATAGGAGTTCTTAAAGCCGACTAAAGAAGGCTATTGAAAATCATATAGCTGGCTGTAGAAAGCGGAGCAAATCATATAGCCGGGCTATACGAAGCTATAAAAAAGTATACAGTCGGGCTATAGTTCCTATCGTCGGGCTTTACACTTTATCGCCATTGGCTATAAAAGGCTATTAGAAATTGTGTAGAAATTTGTGTGCTTTGGAAATCATTAAGTTTGATACGGAACTACTGTTTACAAAACACACATTATATTTTCCTTTAAAACATATTTTCATTTATCAATTAAAATGAGAACAATCCATACAAAATGTGCAAACATTTCAAAATCATGAGTTGAAAAACGCTGACTCCGCGTGATTAAATATTAGAGCCTAACACAAAGCGGAGCGGCGACGCACTGGCGCCTCCAAACCTAACTGGGATACTTCACGCATTGCGCAATGCTTGAAGTATCCCCTTGGGTTTGTAGGCGCGCGCCAATGCGTGCGGCGCTTCAAGCAACTATTTCACACCAGAAGTATTGCACAGTATCAAACTAAACTGAAGGCGCTCTAATATATTAGTAATGGCAGACATCCATCAAAAGCACGGAGCTTTCCTCGCAAAATAAATCAAGATACTACGGCCCAAAAAGAGAGCAGTACTCCAAAAACTCAGTAAGTCCTAGCATCCGTATTTAGTAACGTTTAGCATAAACTTTATCGTCTGGCTGTTGCTTAATCGCCATCGGCTATAAAAGGCTATAAGAAATTGTACAGCCGGCTACAGAAGCTATTGGAAATCTTACAGCTGGCTTTAGGTCTATAGTATTTTGGAACACACATTCTACTGCCAATTTTCACCAGGGTTTGGATTGAGAATTCGACCGTACAGGGTAAGGCATCGCACCGAATAGCAGGACCTACATTGAACACCATAAACTACGCTTGGTATGACTATATTTTTTCCTCAGTATAAGACGCTCCTAAGACGACATGAGAAAGTCCCTGAATGTTATTCCTTAGCGCGAGTTGAAAATCAAACGCAAGTCCGTCTCAAGGTGTTCGACTTAGCACGCGCGAACCCCCCCCCCTCCCCCATCCCTTCACCTCATCCCTTTCCTCTTTGTCTTTGATTTATCACCGACCCGAAATCGGATCAGGTTTCGGCTGGCACCCTCTCAATATTCAATCTGGTTTGATCGAGACCGCAGCCCCCCCCCCCTCCTTTTCGCGTTTATGATCGCGGAAATGACTTATTACTCGAATTTTCCGCCGCTGTTCATTGAATTACCGATGCTGGTGAATCGGAGCAAGGGACGGGACCTTATCTCCCGGGTGCAGTTGACGCCGAATGCTTCCGCCTTGAGAAAAAACGACGTATGAGCGTTCAAACATTGCCGAACTTCTCCCGATAAAATATATATTTTTAAGGAAAGTTGCAAATACTGTTCCATAAAGTCTCCAGATCACCTTCCAGCCAAAGTATCATAAGCGCCATACGTGACGTTTAAAAATTTCCACCGCCATTTTTTTTTCTTACAGAGAAATTATTGTTCAACGAAGCTGTCCAAAAATTTTACTTAATTTTCTTTGTGCTGACGAGAAAATTCGGTAAAATTTTCAAACATGTTCAAACGACAATTTCTCTGTAAGAAAATAGAATGGTGGCGGAAATTTTGAAACATCGCGCGTATGATACTTCGGCCGGAAATTGGAGGAAAAACCTAGTCAGTTGTTTTCAAAAGGGAAGAGGTTCATTCCTTGACGAGATATAGTTAGCATTTCCTTTTACGCTAGCCAGGGCTCATGCAAAAACGGACTTGTTCCCGTATGAAAATAACTGATTTAACTAGAACGACGACGAGTGTTTAACGTCTTATTTTTATATGTAGATTCACTCTTCGTCAAGAAAATATGTAGTGATGGTCTTGCAAAGCTGCGAAAACACTTCTCCCACAGGGCCTTCACGCGTCCTTGCAATGTCTTTGCCCTCAATTTCAAAGTGAATCATCCAGCACCTATGTTCCGAAGTGCTACTCTATGAGTCGTTCACCGGGAACATGCACTTTCCTCAAAAATGACAGTCTCTAAACTTGTTAGCAACAGCCATCGACTAAGCTGTACCGACTGTATTTATTTAAAATTAATTTAAAGAGCAGCGAAGGTGCCACATTTTCTGCACTCGTCTCTGAGACTTCTGATTGATATTGCCGGTCAATCCCAGCTCAGCGCCTTCATTCACTAGGTTCGGCAACCTTCGGAGCAGACATTCAAGTGTCGGGTTGACAGCGGAATCAATCGTTATCGCGAAAACAAGTCGGGGTTTTTTTGCAATGTGCACCGTCCTCAGACCTCGATGAGTGCCCCCAGAATGCATCCGGGAATCGTCGAGGGCCGAGGATCCGATGTATAAAACCTAGTAAGTTGATTTTCTTCCGAGTCCTGAACTCCATAAGAATATTTATATCCTGGAGCTCATTAGATGGTGGACTTGCGGTTTTATCATTCACACATTCACCGACCGCCACCCAATTATTCTTCGAAATTTGTGTCAGGTATTTGTCCTCGAAGGGACCGAAGTGGACACGCGAGGGAACACGCTCGCAAATTGGAAACAAACAAGGAAATGGCGGAATATTATTTAAACTGACTCTGACTTTGCTTTCTGTCATTTCGGTCGTGATTTTTCACAGTTTGGGTGTGGAAGGTTTGACCAGTGGATTATCAGTTTCTTGCCCAGTTTTGATAGTTCGTCCCTCGGTTTTTAGTGGTTATCGTCGACTTAGCCCTTTGTTCGGTTGTGAAGCTTCTTATCGAAATAGTTTTTAAAGCTGTGCGAATTCCTTTTAAATTCCTCAATAAGTGCCTCTCTATTCATTCTTTTCGTCTAGAATAGGTTTTAAAAAAAAACTGAGACTCTCCGATTCAAAAATTCTGAGACAAAAATTGAAGCAAAATTTGATTTTTGTGAAGTTTTTTTTTTAAAAAAAAAAAAATTACGTAACTTCAAACTCTTATAAAAAAGGTAGATTTACCTATAAGTAGTTGACTTTTTAACTTGCATTTGTTCAAGTGTAATCCAAGGATTTTCAAAATCAGATGAAAAAAGAAGTTCAATGAAGAAATCTTTAACTGATTTTCAGAGAATCCCATCTCGAAACTGGCCTTCATTTGTCTTTGACCCATGATAGTCTCTTCCAGTTATTGTGCATGGCAGAGTCTATTAGTGGTCATAGAGCTGAAGTTTGTCACTATGCAACGAGGATCTACCTTCATAGTCGATCTTATACAGAAGAAGTATCGACCTATCATTTTCCCGATATTGTATTCTTGCTGAACTACTTTATTTCAACGACGAAATTTCCCGAATTTCACCACGCAGAATTATTATAGAAAAAAAATGCAAAATGAGATCCGATTATTTCGGGTCAGAGGACACCGCAAGCCTTGACTTTTGACATTTCAGCATGGCTCAAAATCTTGAAGCAGCAAACCTTTACCCGAGCAATAAAGCAAAAAATCGGCCGGAGATCCATTGGTAAACTTAATTCCACCACGCTAATGGTTCGGAGCTCATTAGTTGATGTTCTCAATTCGTGTGTGCTATTCGCTATTCGGTTCGCTCGGGGGACTTAGCTGATGCAAGGGGCCTAGGGTCCTGCGCCCCTATTCATCCTGAAAACAACCCGCAACCCACCCCACGGACCCCAATCTCCGACGGGTAAACGTTTGACTGTATTTGTAAACCTTTCCACCCCCCTTCCGTTCGCCCCTTCGCCTGGAGTTCCCACGGTAGCAAATCAAGTCACGTTCTTCGGGATTTACGAGCGTCTTTGTCAGCGGTGTCAGATTTTTAGTTTAATTTTTGGAAGTTTAGTTCATTTCAGTCAAGTCCAAATTTTCGAGATTTGGATTTTAGGATTTTAGACACTAGATTTTGAGGGACGTATTTGATGTGTATGACGCCCTCGTAGCGGCGGATTCAGCAATTTGGTAACACCGGATTTCCTCCATTTTAACCTATGTTAAATAATCGATTTATGTCAGGGCACCTGACTCCTGGCCCCTACAAGAATCGATTCATCTAATTGAATAAAATTAAGTGGTGTACAAATATATGTTCCAAAATTATATTTGAAACATAGTGCTGACATTATGCATTAATATTCGTTTCCAATGTATCTGTTTCAGAGATCCAAATATATCAAACCCACCTTCTAGTAGTAATTCAAATCTTCCTCTGTGGGACCCATATGACTCAGTCAACCAAACGTATTTAGAATTAAGTAAGTGATCATCCTAAATCCAAACTCTTTGTAATTAAACTAATTTTTTTAAATTCCTTAAAAACTTTAAACCACGTTTGCCGGTGTTAATGACATACATGAAGGTATGGAGATGCGATTTTAGAAAGGTCTCTGAAAATAGCCACTCAATAAATTCAAAAATTGTTATCTTTTATATTCAACGGATTCCAATGTAGGGTATCCGTAATTTTTCATTGGGATGTTACTATTTAAAACGCCGCGCCGTGCGCCGTCTTCTACACTGCATTAAATGTTAAAAAATCTGAGATGATAATAAACAATTTGAGCAATGAACAATTTCAAAATGAACCAGAGATAATGGTTTCTTATTGCAAAATGTGGTCCAAATCATCCGAGGACTGTTTAAAATCTCGGAATGACATCCTTGATAAAAACTGAAGCGAAATCTATCATTTTTACAGAGTAAACTTCAATCTTACAGAGCGGATTTATCTCTTTTTCCGCTCCTTGTTTATATTCATCCCGCTAGGATTTTTTCAGGGCAAAATAGGTTCCGAAGTGAAATGTACTCGAACTTCACTCCGCAATTACTAACAGTGTAAGCAAAATAGATACATACAGATGAATCATAACCGATTCAAAGAATTTGTGCAGGTTTTTTTCCGCTGAAGGTTCAACCAATCAGATTGAGCGATCAATCCGTCTGAGGCATTGACTCGGAATGTTATCACACAGATATTTAACATAATCCAACGACAACCGTTAGAGATACAGAGATGACAAAAAAATTATCTTTTAAATCTAAAACTAAATTACCATGAGTAGCATATTTTTCAAAAAGTGGAGTTAAAATAATATTTTAGATGAGACTAACACCCTCATTTGGACGCTTGCGCGAAAGAAGTTACTCTACATTGATATATTTGAGGAAGGCCATGTCTGTTGAAGGGATGGGTTGAAAATAGAAACTTTCTTTGTATCTTTATTTTGTTTGCTTTTTTCAAATTTCTATAGCAGAAGATGGACCTTTTTCACTTAAACGCGTCCACATGTTGTCATACTCTCTCAGCCTGAAAAATTATCTGAATATATGACTTTAATATGGTTTTCTGATACACAGCTGAAAACTCTACAATCAAGAAACACTATCGAGGTCACAAGATGTCACTGTGGCTCAATTTAATTCCGCAGCTCCACAGGCCGGGTGTGGACGAACTCAGCATGAGCCATCATCATTTTCAGGAAGAAGAGCCTCAGTACTATGACGGTATGTTATTTTCAATGCTTACTTCAAGAAACATTTAAAAAAAAACGAGAATTAATGTCGATCGAAATATAGAAATTTGTTATAGAACTAGGTGGAGAAACAGCGTAATGGGGATCATACAGTTATTCCGGAGAACTATTTTTTACATTGAGCATACTAAGCGTAGCCTTTGTGAGAAACCTTTTGTAACCGTGCGCCAATTTTAAAGATAGGCTTCATATTTTCTTTTTCAAGAGAAGTGACTTCACTATGACGACAAGTAAAAATACCTCCTCTGTCTATAATCATTTAGGCTGGTATGCGCTCTAAGGAGCACAAGATGGGGATCAATTTCGATTACAAAAATTATTTGTGTACTCCATCGCACAGTGCGGTAGTGTGGCCAGCGCGTAACTCGTATTAGCGCCTACGAGACTGCAAGGATACTTCACGCATTGCGCGTACACGGCAAGGATACCTCACGCATTGCGCGTACATCACGGTGCGTACGTGCAATGCGTGAGGTATTCCTGCAGTCTTGTAGGCGCCGATACGCGTTCCACGCAGGCGTCATCACAGTGCCGTATATGTTGTCTAGGTGCTCTTCCTGAAAAAGTTCTCTCAATAAACTGAATCACAGCATAATTTTCCTCATTTGCCTTGCAAACTTCCGATTTCTAGCCTGAGCATCTGATCTCTTAAAACCAGTATTTCTTGACCTTTTGTGTAGATTTAATCAGAATCAGTCTCACGACATCAGACGTTGTGTAATTTTTTACAAGTTCCATCTTTGCATCAGGGAACTAAGCAACATTTTGACTTGAAAATTTGTAAGTATACTCTTCAAAATGTGGAAGTATCCGTCTTCTCTTTTACATGAACTTCGAGGTTAAAACAAATTTGATCCAGTTGCCTTGTATACTTAATTCGATGCTTTTCCCGACGTGTAGGTGTCATACTTAGTGTGCTGGCAAACCAATGCTTTAGTGTTCGATAAATATAATGATTTGAAAAGGCTTTATTCAATGAGCTCCAACGAGGAGATGCATTTAGCTTTGCAGCGAGTATTGCTGCTCAGCTGATTTTTTTATTTTTTTTTTATTTTTTTACGTTTTTGGGGGAGGGGGTGTAAAGTTTTTTCATCAATCGGACCGCGTTTAGCAAGAAGAAACCAAACCACATTAACTATTGCCAAATTTAACTGGACAATTTAATTCTTTACAGTAGAACGCTCGTGCGGATTTCTTTAAAAATTGTAAGGAATTTGCCTCGTTCTAGGCAGAAAATTCCCTGAAACTTGCATAAAAATGTGCATAACCCAAGTAGCACAGATTGCAATAAGTTGCAATTGCATAGTAAAACTATTGCAATACCACTGAGTGTTATGTATGTTGCCCAGCTCCTATTGGAAGGGGTCCCATTTATTGAAACCTATTGTAGTAAAATTGAAATAACTTGCAATTTTTCATTGCATTGCATATTGCCTATCTTTCTGACACATAAAGCTTATTATGCTGATTGTTTAAAATTGGCACAAATAGGCTAAATGATGTAGTTTTGAAATTAATTTAAAAAAATTACAATTTTATTGGAATCAAGTTGCAATTTAATTTCAATATTTTTGTTGCACTGTGCTACTTGGGATATAAATAATTCAATTTCCCGGTTAAATTTTGCAATAACTAATGTGACTTAGTTCATTTCTGCTTAACGCGGCTCAATATTGTGCGTTACTCAAAGCGATTATGACTCATTTTTCTGAATTTGGTGCTTCAGGGACGGTGCGGCGATACCTGATGCAGCGCCCGTCGTTCTACACGCCTCCAACGACGACAACGACGCCGACGCCCAAGGCGGAGCCACCCACGTCAGCGGGGGCGGCGAAGGCCCCTCTGCCAGCGCCGACGACGACCCCCGCGGAGTGCACGAACCTGACGGCGCTGGGCCCGGCGGCGGACGCGGTGAGGCCCACCTCCGGGGACCGGGAGAGGGAGCGGTCCCACGGGAACAACCTGCTCAACCGGTGGGGCCCCGGCTCGTACCAGCTCTACGCGCCGGCCCTCCTGTCGGCCGTCGTCATCGGGTTCCTCTTCCTCCTCAACGTCCTCATCTTCGTGTTCATCTGCCACCAGCGCGGGCGCCACCTCCACGACCGACGTCGCAAGAAGCGGAAGCGCAAGGAGGAGGTCTGCGAGATCAACAGTTGCTGCAGCAGCTCCAGCGAGTACCACTCCGAGAGCAAGATCCCTGTTGCCGGTAAGTTACCACCGAGAAACTCAAGAATCGTGGAAGAGTGGAATAGTGGGGAGGAAAAAGTTCTTTGAATCAAGCATTTTACCGTCGAGAAGATTTCCCTATGAATCAATAAAGAAAAGAATGTTCGTGTGAAGAAAAAAAGATGTTTTTATAAAAAGAAAAGTCAGTTACATTAAGCAGAAACCCGCTCTCATCTTCTTGATGGCATTCTTAAGAATGTGTCTGCCTTAATCGAGTCATTTTTCCTCTAATGATTTTCAAAAATTATGCTAAACATTAGTAAATACGGATGCTAGGACTTAGTGAGTTTTTTGACTACCGCTCTCTTTTTGTGCCGTACTATATTTATTTATTTTGCGAGGAAAGCTGCGTAGTCTTCTTATTATGCTGGAGTGCCTTCAATTTTGTATGATACTGTGCAACACCTCTGTTGTGAAATAATTGCTTGAAGCGCCGCACGCATTGGCGCGCGCCTACAAACCTAAGGGGATACCTCACTCATTGCGCAATGAGTGAGGTATCCCCTTAGGTTTGTAGGCGCGCGCCAATGCGTGCGGCGCTTCAAGCAATTATTTCACAACAGAGGTGTTGCACAGTAGCATACGAAATTGAAGGCGCTCCAGCACATTAGGAATGACTCTAAGATATCCTCTAAGAGTACGGGAGCTTCCCTCGCAAAATAAATATACTACGGCGCAAATAGAGCGGTAGTCCAAAAACTCACTAAGTCCTAGCACTCCTAGCATCCGTATTTAATAACGTTTGGTATAATTTTTGAAAATCATTACAGGAAAAATGACTTGATTTAAGCAACCTAAGGAGATACTTCAAGCATTGCGCAATGCGTGAGGTATCCCCGTAGGTTTGTAGGCGCCTGTGCGCGTTTCGCACCGGCGGCACGCCACTTCGCTCTGTGTCAGGATCTAATATTGGAACTCGCGAAGTCAGCGATTTTTTCGTGCGACTCTATTGTACTCTTTGTTATTCGATTGCTAATTGGGTTTGACTTGTGACGTTTATGAATTGCAGGGATCAGCTACGCGCACCACCAATCGACCTCGACGAGTCCGATGGTGGAGCTGCAGGAGTTCAAGTCGTCGCCGCCGTCGGCAGTGAAGCGGATGAGCAACTGCACGACGCCCACCTACTCGATGGACACCCTCCTCACGCCGAGCATCCCGGAGCCGCCGCCGCCCCCGAACCAATCCGCCGCCGGCATCCTCCGCCCCCACAACTGCCCCCAGACCCCCAGCTCCATGAAGAAGCGCGTCCAGATCCAGGAGATCTCCGTCTGACACCAGCAGCCTCCGCTCTACCCTCCAACATCGGGTTTCGGTGAGAATCCTAGTCTCGAGAAAAATACAAATATAAATGGACATATTCCCGCCAAACGGAATCAGAGACAGGTGGGAAAGAAGGGGTGTGCTCGTTAGTTGAGGGCCATAAGAATGAATGGGAATTATAAAGCGCCAGTGACATCAGCCGCGTCAAAGCTGTCTCCGCTGTCGCTCTTGGTAGGAGTCATCTCATGAGCCCTGTCCACAACGCTCTTTTTCCATTAACGTGGCTCGTGAGTGCCGCATTCAGATGGCACATAGATCCGGTTGACAGTTATTTTATAAATCCCGCTTTTTCATTCCTCCAAAGGAAATCACGACTACTTTAACATTGTTTCTTATGCAGTTTATTATAGCCCACCCCATCTTTCCAGCTCATCTTTAGTTCCGTTTGGCAGAAATACGTCCAAATCAGGGGCGAAATTTTTTTTTCAATCTGGAAACGTACCTCTATCATTTCACCATCGATTTGAACCAATAATGACATTGAATAAGGAGACCGTGCATTCTGTTCAGTTTTTACTGACGATTTCTCCGAAATCTCTCGGAACCCCATGATCGGCGAGCGGGGAGGGGAAGGGAGTGTGTGTCCCAAGCGTTCGAAGAGACTGCAGAGAAGCAATGGAGAATTCATTTGCGCGCTCGGATTTTCGCGAATAACTCGTTTAGAGTCATTTTCAATCAAAATCCCCAAGGACTAAAGTTGTAGAGCATATAATTTCATAACCGAATTACAAAGTTTCACTTATCTGAACTCATTAACAATCGAGAAAAGCTCCTCACAATCTGAGAAAAATTAATTGGAGCCGCTACTGAGCACGTGCAGAGCACACACAAGCTTACCTGTGCGAGGTCAGTGCTCTATAGTCATTGGTTGGTGCGCCAAACAATTTTTTAAAAAAAGTTGTCACGTCTTCCATTACAAGGGGCACGGTCTACTTGATTGAATGTCTTTAATTTGAACTTTCAGCTAATCATACCACTCATCTCATCGCTTATCAATGTCAAGTCAAGTAATTTGTCCTATTTTTTCATTTCAGAGTCCAGGGATTATCATGTCTTGCATGGTGATTTAACAGATGTCGGGTATGGACAGTTCAACTAGTATGAAGATGTTGACTGGTCTCAAGGTCTTGAAAAGCTCGAACTGCAGCTCTCTCGTGAACCCAAAGTGGTATAAAACTCTTCAAGAAACGCCATAGGAAACTCAGTTCGTACTGAGAAACCTATGTTCGATGCACTAGACATGTATCACCAAACATAATTTCGTAATGGTCGTTGGATGGGTGAAATCAAGATTCCTGGTGAGAGAAATTGAAAACTGAAAGTAAAACTCATTCTTTTACAATTTATATCTAAAAAGGACCGCGCTCAACAGAAAGGAACCAAGCCACATCAGCTATTGACAAATTTAATTCGGCAATTTTATTTTTTACACAAGAACGGTTGTGCGGATTTTTGTGCACATTTCAGTGAATTTTCTGCATCTGCATAGTACGAAGCAAATTCCTCAAAATTTAAAAAGGAATCCACACAAATGTTTTCTTGTAAAAAATTAAACTGCCCAGTTAAATTTGACTTTAGCTGAATTGGCTTGATTCCTTCCTGCTTAAGGTAGTCCAAAAAGGTACATATTTAAGGTATGCACCTTAGCAACTAATTCCTGGATATGTAGTGCTAAATTTATCCTCTTGGTTAGGCCATGGTGAAATTTTCGGATGTCTTTTATTACACAGTCTCAATTTCTTTCCATCATGCAGACTCTACAGTAAAAACAGAGTATAATGAGGCACTTATTCTGCTTAAAATAGAGTTACAAGAAATCACTGCCACAATTCTGATAAAATAACACTGCAGCCTCTCCCACGGGAAGCAATGGTCGTTTGGTAGATAATCTGAGAGTTTTCCACGGATCTGCACCCTCAAGAAAGGATATCTCAACCTCCTCAGGCAGATACCCACGATTTTAAGTGAGTTACATTGTAAATGTGTCGACGATAAAATATTGATTTTTGTTCTGTGAAAATTTGATTTACGATTTGTTACTGTTTGTGAAAATGACTTGTTTAAATATGTACAAATAGTTAATGAAATGTGATTTTAAATTGTATAAGAGCTTATTCCTTATTCCTCACAAAGCATCTCCTTTAGATCCATTTAGTGCGGTCATTTACAAAAAAGATCTTACTTTATAATATAAAATCATGAAAGTGGCACGTAACGCATAAAGCCTGAAGCGCCAAGCGCTTCAGGATTTTGAGCCGAAGCCCCCTATTAAAGTTAAAAATTTGACGAGTGTCCATCTTCTTTTTTTAAAAAAGAAAAATAAATGAACAAAGGAGAACATGCTTAATATTCATATTTTATGCGTAATCTCTACAAATGAAGTAGTGCAACTAAAAGAGAAAGTTTTGTTCCGTTGAAAACACGTACCGACTTAAGTAAAATATGTTGATTGGATGAGCCAGTTTCACAAGGGTTAAGTTAGTCAAAGAACTACCTACCTTCCCTCTGACAAAAACATTACACTTAAAAATTACTGTCAGATTTCAGGAACCTGAAAATTATTGAAAAAACTCGATCTGCGTGTGTATCACATTTGACACAGGTTTGAAAATTTTTGTTGAATGAGCAATGGACTGCATAATTATTTCAGTCAATACAGAAATCTGACACATTTTTCAGGTGATCAACATTATTCCAGGTAAGTTTGCGTAGTTTGAATGCAACGGTGGGTTTCATATCTACACATTTAGCAGCCGAAATTCAAGAAACAAACCCACATGCACGAGAGCAGTTTTTTAACCCTGAAAATCAACGAGGTCTCTTCTGAATTTACACGAGCATCCAATTTTTCGCTAAATTAGCTGAATGATGCTACTGCCATTGCTAAAAAATAAGTATATTGGTTTTCGCAAATAAATAAATGAAAAAAAAATCTATGATTGATTTTCTTCTCAGAATGAAATAAACAAGACTCTGACATTTTAGGTGGATCGGAAGCAGGATTTGTTGCCACAATCCGTTCCCGGCTCTATAGCTATAAATTAATTTTGTGTTACACATATAAACCTTTTTTAACTGACCAGAGACTTCACCGGAGCATGAATACCTATGAGATGTAGTGATGCGCCGCGCCGCCGTGCCGTCGCAACGCGATATTCTATGAATGCCACTTTATAAAACTCCTTCAAATCGTAGAGTATGCAACCACCTCATTCCTATACGGGTGCTACATACCTTCTACCGTTCACCCTTACAAATGTGCAACGGCTACTTACCTGGAAGTTAGGTTACACGGCGATTTGCATTATGCCTACCCTTGGTAAAATCAACCAGTATTTTAATATGTCTCCAAAAACACCAAGACTTAAGCTAAACCCTCTAAGAGAAATAAAATCATCCTCTACCGGTTTTTAATTCTCTATTTCTAAAATTAAAGAATGATGAATCTTTAATATGATTTTATTGGATTTTAGCGCTATTATGGTAATTTTAAAGGTGAACTCATGCTCAAAAAAAAATTTAACAAACCAAACAAATCCTTTTGGCTTCTTAAAAACTTAATCAAAGTATGAGATCTGTAAAAAAACGAAAATAAACCAGCTTATCATGAATGATAAGTAAGAAACTGAATTCAAACCGAATTCCCTGCTCAACTGCTAACTTAATTTACAGGTAATTTAGCGGTAAGAAATTGCCTTTAAGTTATCGTATGATCATAATATTTACAGGGGTGATACCTTTCGAGTGGAGCATTCAATTTTGCTGTTAGGTGCAAAAACTATACATTTACGCGCATAAGCCATTTTTGTTGCGACTGTCTCAGTTTGATATGATATTTCTTAAAGGAAAACTTTGAAAGAGTGAACGAACGGTTAACCCTGTTTTTGAGAGATCTGTGTTGCATCACCCAGTATTTGAAGGAGCTTCATGTGATTGCATCAATTGAATGAGCTGTTGCGCGTGGCGCACAGTGGATCGAGTCAATTAGAGGGATCGAACATGAAATTTTTACTAAAACTGCAAATTTTGATGTTTATTTTGTCACATTCTAAATTTCAAGAGGTGTTTCGAGATGAAAATTTCACGAGAAAACCAATGATTAAGCACTTTGAGAAGGAAAGAGGCGTTGAAAAGTTGCCACGAGCGCACCGGTAATCGACCGATGACCATTGACTATTCGGATGCTATCTCGTAGATTAGCGCGGGAATTTCGAAAAAAACAGTAGGATTGTAATTTTTAAAGTCGGAAATTAAAAAAATTTAAGTTGAGTGAAACATTAATTTTTTTTTTTTTTGTTGAAAAACATTAGTTGAACAGAATGCCACTAATTTATTAAAGAGCTGATGACCTAACCTAACCTAACCTAACCTAACCTAACCTAACCTAACCTAACCTAACCTAACCTAGCCTAACCTAGCCTAACCTAACCTAACCTAACCTAACATAACCTAACCTAACCTAACCTAACCTAACCTAACTTAACCTAACTTAACCTAACCTAACCTAACCTAACCTAACCTAACCGAACCTAACCGCTAAGTCAGTAAAAGTCGCTGATTTAGCTAACTATTTTCAATATTAAATTAATTGTTGTAAAAATGAGTTTTGACCTAACCGCTAAGTCAGTAAAAGTCGCTGATTGAGCTAACTATTTTCAATATTAAATTAATTGTTGTAAAAATGAGTTTTGTGACTTATTTGGACGAAGAATCATGATTGGGGGATTTTACAGATTGGAAAAAAAAAAAAATTTCCAGTGTCGGGAACCGAACTCGGCATCCTCACTGCGGCAAGCGAGTGCTCTACCCATTGTGCCATCCGAGCGATTGCTTAAGAATTGGAAATAAGTAGTATATAAGGGTAGCGTTATTGTTGTTGAAAAGAAGATGCATCGTTGACCGGTGACCGACGCGGATGGTTGCTGGGGATTCTGCAACTTTTCATGCCTCTTTCCTTCTCAAGAGTAAACATCAAAACGATTGGAGTCACTTTTGAAACCTCAATGTTTTGTATGAACGGAGTTATGAGGTTTTAAAGTCTCCAAATTTGGTCCGACTTCTCCTATTTACTCGATCCACCGTGTGGCGTTGCGATGGCATCAGCACGGTGCTTCTGAGTATCACATAGGGATATGTTTCAGTGAAACCTATTTTCAATCCTCGTCAAAATGCAAAAGTGTTTACAGAGGCATTGAACGGGCCAATATCGTCACGCAGAATCCTTACCTTGATTCATTCAAACGAATCAGAGATGCATTGTTTAACTATAAGCAGAAAATCTTTCCCGCAATTTCGATCAGAGTCGAAAGGTACAACTATAGTTCACAAGTAGTGTAAGGTATCATTAAAACATTTTACACTTATATAGAACCTTTAGTAGTTGTGTCAAAAATGGAAGAAAAAAAGAAGAAGAAAAAAAATAATTACCGCGTTTTTTGGCTTATGGCTACAGAAATCAGCTATGATACTCATTCTTTGCATATCAGTAATAACTACTCTACCGTGCTAAGGAAGAACGCCGTATGAACATTCAAGAGTCACCAAAATTCCTTCGATAAATTTTTTATTTTTGCGGTAGGTTATGAATATTTTTTCTTATGGGATTTTCCAGAATTTCAGGTGAAATTGCGAACAAAATTATCTGAAAAATCGGAAGGAAAATATTCATAAATTTACCAGGAAATTCGTGTTTTATCCAAAAAAAATTTGGCAAAACCTGAATGTTCATACCTACGGCGTTTTTCCTTAGCACGGCATTGCTGATATCTATACAATGTCGCAGCGGACGGGGCAAACAATTTAGCACTAAAATACACGTGCCCTCGTCAACATTATACGTATATAACACTGTGGACACAACAAAAGTTTTCAATTTCAACTCGCACACAAGTGAGTAGTTTGCGATATCTGCACCTAACAGCTCAAACTCCTCCCCTGCAAAAAAAATCAAAGTCCACTTTGAAAGTTCGAATGGTAAATAATTTTGGGGAGTTTTGTGATGAAATAATATTTTCAATATTAGAGAAGGAAGGAAATCTAGTATGAAATCCAACATGCATCATTCTCTGAACGGTTAAATTATTTTCAACGGCCCACAGTGGCTCGAGTCATTAAGAGAGGTTGGGCACGCAATTTTGGCTGCGGAACATTGTTAAAGGGCTACATAAATTTTCAATTTTAAAAAACAAAAAAATTTTGATGAACACTAACTCACTCACTTGCGTAACTACTTGTAAAAATGAAGGGGATGAACATTTTGACTAAAACTGCTTCTTTCGATGTTACATTTGTCGCATTTTAAATTTTAAGAGGTGCTTCTTCGATGAAATTTTACAAGAAAACCAACGGAACCACTTTAAAACTCTAAATTTCTTATTACCGAAGGTATATAAAGTTTTTTTTTTTTTTTTTAATTTGCCACGCTCCATGTCCAATGTCTCTCTTTGG